CAGTCTCCCCTCCCCCACATTTCCATGTGTCCCATGAGAAGGGCAGTTGAGACCCACAGGGTAGACAGTCACTGCCCTCTTCATGAAATTTTACCAGGCCCATCCACATTCACGGTGGACATGTTTCCTAATTTACAACTGATGACAGGAATGCTCAATGAGGACAGAGTAACTTTCCATGTGAGTAAATTTATATTTGCGGAAATGCCACCCGGGAGTCCCTGGGTCACGTGACCTTTCCAACTGAGCTACAGCCAAATGGTCAAATCAGGGCAAACAGCGGGAAGAGCTGACCCCTTGGGCTCTCTTAGGAGTGTGCAGCCCACAGGGAAAAGAGGGATGAGCCAAGGCAGAGCCAGAGCAAGAGGCAGCCCCCCATTCTCCACGCGGCCAGACTGGTCCGCGGAGCTCTTTTACTTCCTGGTATTCTTATATTAGACCCTCCCAGCCCCTGCAATCACCTCGTGTGGGTTTCTGCAGCCTGAAAGACGTAACTAACATAACTAGAGTCCCCATTTCACAGGTGAGGACATGGAGGACTTTTCTCACGTAACCCAGGCCCAAGCGCCCATGAACAGAAGTGATGAAGCTGGGATCCTCACGCAGGAAAAAGGGTGCTTTATTTAGTACCCATGGACCCTGGCGGAAATTGTGGGCACGGTCCCCAGTGCAGCCCAGAAAGAACAATACTATCCTCTGCAGGTTGTGGTGCACTTGCCCATGCATTGAAGCCTCGCGTCATTCCGACTTGACACGGAGCGCTGAGGCTGTCGAGGCAGGCTGGCTACCAGGGGCATGGGTCTGCTACAAGAGCCGGCTGGTCTCCACCTGCTGTCAACGGCATATGGCTGCCCCACACCTCTGCACCCCTGACCTTTCGTCTGAGCCTGGGACCATAGACACCGTGTCCTTTTCTCTGTCCCCTTCTCCATGGGCAATGCTTTTAGGCCCTTGGAAGTCCCACCGGGACTACTCTAGCTATAGTTTGTCTTGATGGCAGCTATTTTTCTTTGCTTTTGTTAACTTTGCTAGAGCATGTGCAGGCTCACCAGAGTGGGGGGTGGGCAGTGAGGTGGCAGTCCCACCTCCATGTGGAATGGTGACACTGTGACCCCTTTCCCTCCATTTCACCTGTCAGGACTCTGGACATGGACTCATAGATGCCTAGTGTATTTTTCAAGCCACTGAGTCAGGGACTGAAACCATGCAATTGTCCATGTGGGATCCAGCTACCTCAACTCCCACACCACCAGCAAACCTGTAGCCTGATGCCAGCTATTTGTTTAAGCTGCAACTTGGATCCTGTCCTGCTTTCTAATTACTTTCCCACTAAAAATATGTTAATAATACTGTCAAGGTATGCATGGTTATCGTCTTATCATACAGATGAAGTAATTGGCACAGAGACGCTAAGGAATCATCCCAAAGGCACTTGGACTATGTCTGGCAGAGCAAGGACTGAGACCAGGTGCACAGCTACTTGTGCAGGTGGAGGCGGGAACCCTGGCAGGGTGAAGGTTCTCTGCAGGAGGAAGGTGGAGTTGGGGCTCAGGACCAGTCCTGAAGTTTACCCAGATAGAACGCCAAGAGCATCCTCCAGGAATCAACCTGCCCCTTGGAAGCAGCTGGCTCCGTGCTGGCTCTGTGCTGTCCTGTGACACTGGCCACATCCCACTGAGAACTGCCTGAACTGTGCATTCGCACTGCAAGGAAGGCTGGGCAGACCTTACCTGTTGTGCAGCTGGGCAAACTGAGGCTACGGCTTGAGTGACTGACCTAAGGTCCCAGACCTCTTAAGTGACAGCCATGAGCCTCTCGCCCACACTCCCTAGGGCTGCTACACTATCTTCTAGAATTCGCCATCTGGACAGGGGTGGCTCCCACCTTTATCATTCCCACTCCTGTGGGAAACTTCTCATCTGCAGGTGTAACTTGGTCCTCCAGGAAACTTCTGGGAAGAAGACTTGGCTACACCATGGCTTATGCCCCTGCAGGAGCTGGGGGCGGGGTGTGGATATCTTAAGCATCTGGACCCTAGTACTGTGTGGGCTGGCCACTGCTCTCTGCTGGGGACCAGGGCGGGCCTGGACACCATGCAGAGGCCCTGCATTCAGGTGATGCCTTGCTCAAGGACCGTGTCTTCTGACTCCTCAGCCAGCATTGTCAGGGTGCCTCTGAGCTTCAGCCAGGCCCATGCTGCGTGGCCCTGTCTTCTACCAGAGACCAAGACACAGCCCTGGGGGCCTCAGAGGCTGGGCAGGTTTGAGAACAAAGAAGAACCCTTCTCCCAGGGCCGAGGGGAGAGCCCAAGCCCACCTCCGTCTCACCTGTCAGGGTTTCGGGCCCCTCGTTTGGCAGTGAGGCTGTGTGAGCATCCGTGGTGCAGAACTGCCGGGAGGGGGACCAAAGGACTGGGGGGACTTGGGGAACTCGGGGGACTTGGAGGGCTGTCATGAATTTCATAAGCTGAACGAGTCATGGTGGCTCTCACTTGCACCTT